GTTAACCAGGACTGCTGATAAATGATGGAGAGCAGCTTGGCAAGCTCCTCTGCCAGCTCCCTCAGCACCCTCAGGTGGATCCCATCCAGCCCCATAGACTTGTGGTTTTTTAACCTAGTTTAAAGCCTAAAGTTTTAATGAGTTGCAGCACAGGAACAGGAAACCTTTGGGAGCAGAAATTCTTGAAGTCGTGATTGCAGTTGTGCCCCTCACATCTTGGAATTCCGGTGAGGAAGCGTAAAAAAGAAGGGAGAGGGGGAGGAATTGAAGAGAGAGGGCAGGCAGGAGTAGGAGGGGAATGAAGGAGGAGGTCATACCCCAGTGAACGCCACACACCCCGATGTTTTGTAAAAGCTCCCAGTGGAAAATAAAATGAATGCAGATGCTGATTTTCATGATTGTAGGGACTAAGGAAAATGTATTTCTGTTACATTAAAGATTATGATCTTGGTCTGTCTCCCTTGTAACCGTAGTTTTCTGCTGTTAGGGCTAACTCTCAGAGGTAGAACAGAATCTGATCGATCTGGGCCTTGAAAGGGAAAAATACGAAATCAAAGATTTCATCTGGTGGGAACTGGGAGACATTTGATGTGCCATGTAAGAACCGTGAGATTTCAAGGACATGGGGAATGCTACTCTGGCCATACACCTAGACACCTCAAATCATCTGCCCTTTTTCTTTCTTCCAAATTTAGGGAGTCCCCTCTTATCCTAACCTGAGGTGTCTTTTGAGGCTGTAGGGTAACTTGCACCTCTGATTTAGATCATTTGGCTCTCTCAGAGGGAAGAAGATCTGGCTTTAGCCTAGTTTCCTAAAGAAACAAGACTTCCTCAGTCATACCCCCTGTGTTCCCAAACCTTGCAAATTTTGGACCCGCTGGCCACCTTCAGTCAGGTTTGACACACAACACAAAGGCCGCGATTCCCTGGACCGCTGATCAAGTAGTTTATGCTCCAGGAATGCCCATCCTTCACCAGGGGCATTCCGGGAATCCGAGCGTACTGACTGTTACGCCAGCAACGGCGTAACGTTTGGCCACACAAAGAAAGAGTAAGACCACCTGAACTTCAAGACTAGCTGATGGCTGACAAGGATTTGATAAACTTGTTTTAGGACACAGTTGAGTGCGCAGACACCAGAGGAGGCAAAGGGAGAGCTGAGAGTACGAGCAGATTTGTGAACTGAAGCTCAGGGTTTGCGTGGAGACTTCGAGAAGTTCAGCGGAGAGACGTGATCAGGGAGTCAATGGAGTGCTGACATATGTAACTACCCTGCAGTCAGTTTTATTCTCTTGGGAATTTACTAAAAGCTAAGCAGAAAAAATTGCCCTGCTATATAGTATCGTGAAGAAAACGTCCCATGGGAAGGTGGATCAGAGCAGGCAGGGTTGCAGAGTTTTTATTATTTAGTGTGAACTACAATTGCTCATCAGCCCACCAGGGGCTGAGTCAGTGCTCAGTCAGGACCACGGTCCTGGGCTTCATCTTATAGCACATCAGATTTTAACCCCAGCAGGACAGAAACATACAGCGAGGCGGCATTAGCTTTTGCGTGGCTCCACAGCAGCGGAAACGTTGGTTGGATTATCTTCAGAAGCGTTACAAACAGTGCAGCCCTTTGATGAAGCATCTGATCAGGAACAATTGAGAGGTTTGTATGTAACCTTAAGGCAGCCACATGGACAGTGGCTTTCCTCAGCAGAGGTCACACTTGGGGGCTGCCTCCAGTTGCTACCGGGTGAGGAGCAGGAAAGGATGAAAATGGCTCCATCCGCAAACCTAGGCCACCTGGAAGCCACCCTTGGTGGATGGCGCAGACCTGATGGGGAGATGTTGGGTTGCAGAGGAGCCACTTGACTATGAGAAGGTAACGCCTTAGGGTCCACAGCGATAAATACAGGTGTCCATGAGACAGCTGGGGAGCTCCAGCTGCTGAAGAAGAGAGTGGCAGCAGCATCCAGCTCTGGGAGCAACAGTCTGGCTCCTGCGTGGCAGAAAAAGGGGCGCCCAGGCAGCTGGCAGTGGAAGTGTAACCACACTAATAAACTTCGGCCATGTGCAGAACAGGGGGCAGATCCGGCCCAAGTTGAAGGCCAAGGCACATGAAGAGGGAACGCTGGCATCAGGGGGATTTCCCTTTGCCTCTTGGGTGACCAGCGTTGAGGGCAGCTGAATGTCAGCAGCTCAGGACAGGAGGACAGATCTGGAACTTGCTTTTCATTGAAAGCACAAGACAAGTTCCATCCTAGAGAGGGGAAGATCACAGGGAGAAGCATGTTGGAACGACTCAGATTTAGTACTGGCACAAGAGGAAGATGAAGGAGGAGGTAGTGCCCGAGCTTGACTGAACAGAGCTGGTAGTACTGAGGTATAAGCAAGGATATTTAGAAACAGACAAACCTGTGGCAATCCTGCAGGATGCAGATGGCAGCCTCGGAGGAGCAGAGGAACGGGGTCACAGGTAAGGCTCTACCTTGCAGAGCCGGCTCGCAAGAAAATGTACAGACTTGGGCAGTGCTCATTACGGCTTCAAAAATCAAGTGGTTTAAAATATAATGAACAAATCTGCACCAAGTCTCTACTGCTGGGTACATTCAGAAGTTTTATTTATCTTTTCATAATCACATCTAGTCCAACGGAGTGAGTCATTATGAAGCAATTTTCCCCAAATTTCCTCTTTTAAAAGCATTTAGCTTTGCCTGAGTCTCTACTAATGTTTTATTTGTGAATCCAACCATTCAAAATACAAAAATTCAAAACGTGACAGGCAAAAAAAATCTGTAAGTAATTACAAAATACAACAAATTTTAGTAAAGAAAATTGAGTACATTTCCACGATTTGCTCCTATATTCAATTCCAGAAAAATAATAATGATGAAGTTGGGGGCTTCTCCAATTTTCATATTTTTCAAACCAACCTGAAGAAACAGCAGAGTCCTCAGTCCACAAAACCAGTAGCAGAAACCTGCACCCAGGCGTGGTCCTGCTCCATTTAACTCTGCAGCTTCACGTTTTCTTTTTGAACTCCCCATAATTTAACTCCGTTTGTACACATTTTGGTACGAACTGGATCAATTACTTCCAGCTGCCGGGTTGCAGTTACCTGTTTGCAGGCTGCGGGCAGTGCAACAGTGCACCGCTACAGTGGGGAACCAGATCTCTGGTGAACAGCAGCCGCTGCGCTACCCCGGCTCTTCAGCGCAGGAGGGTACCACTGAATCACGCGATTTACTTTACAGAACGTAACTAGGCAACGCTTGGGCATTTTACTGCCACTTCATCAAACGTTATCAAATATAACGACAAAAAGCTCTTCATCAAAATCACAACCCCCATATAAAAACATCCCTGGCCTCACTATAGGTTGCAGGTGTTCCCCCTGCCCCTGCACACTCCAACCCAGAAATAAATACTTGCAAGAAAGGACGCTTCCAGAGATACAGAGAATGATGAAAACAACCAAACATCCAGAAATCTAAACTTCAGAGACCATTTTCAAAGGCAGCAAAGCGAGTATATTCCATAATGAACTGGTAATAACTTCATTTTGTTCTAGAATGGAAAAAAAAACCCACAACACCCCAAAACAAACACAAAACCAAAACATCCTTTGCAGCAGTGTTAGTTTGGATACCTTCTGGTGGGACATTTACCAGATTGATCAGGTTTGAAGCTCATTCCCTGGAAAACGGCTCACTGCCCTGCTCACCTTGAAGCAGCCAGCAGCTGGAGGTCCCTTTTACAGAATACACATTTTTCTCAGCTGTATGGCTTTTCAGTGGCTTGTTGCCAAAATCCCTGAGACATCATCTTCACTCCGAGGAGAGAAGGCAATTCAGAAAAGATACAAGAAGTCAGAGAACTGTAACATACCGGTTTTGTTACAGCAAGGATACTGCAGGACAACTGTGCGTTATGAAATGGACCTGCAGTTTCTGTGAAGGAAGGCGATACAAAACTTCAGTTACGCAGGGCGAGGGGAACCCAATTTTCATGTACTTGCAAGATCAATTTTTCAAAGCTGCCTTTTAGAGTACATACCATGCAGCTTTCTCCTTTCCTCTTCCTCACCAGGTCTTTGGTTCATACCAAATTCACAACAAGACTTCCTCAGACCTCTGTGGCATTTGTAAATTGATCCGGGAGTGAGCGAGCACCACCCTGAAACCTGCTTCTAGCCACTAAGGACCCGATAGCCACTTGGTAGGCACTTTTGTAAAGATCAAGATTGAAAAATGTCGTTTTCTTTCTACTGTTGGAATTCATTTTACTCAAATCTCCTTTTTTCTGTCTGCACCTAACCTTCCTGTGACAAGGCAGTTCGGCCTTGTTTTTCAGAACAAGGTCTTTTTGGTCTGAAGACCAGAAACTGGTCTTTTTGAAAAGCACTCTCTCTTGGAGGTCCGGCACCACAGCTCCGTCAGGTGCCTAAACCCCTCCTCATCCAGAAATCTCCTCATCTGCTGCTGAAACGAGGTCTGACACGCAGCAGTGCCACACACTGCTTGTGCTCCACTGCACCAGTCCAGCGGACAAGCAGCCTTGTTTTTCAGAGCTGACCAGAAACTGGTCTTTTTGAAAAGCACTCTCTCTTGGAGGTCCGGCACCACAGCTCCGTCAGGTGCCTAAACCCCTCCTCATCCAGAAATCTCCTCATCTGCTGCTGAAACGAGGTCTGACACGCAGCAGTGCCACACACTGCTTGTGCTCCACTGCACCAGTCCAGCGGACAAGCCTTTTGACACTGCAGCACGTGTAGCTGACACTTCATACACACCACGGGTTGGGTTTATCGTTGTTGACAGGCTTTCCTGGGTTGCAGTGCTGGACCGTGAACTCCTCTATGCTTTTGTTGTGTGTATCTGAAACTTGCATCCCCATGAAGCTGGGTGTGACGGTGTCTACAGAGGTAGGCCTGATGCCCTGCTTATTGCTAGAGACCCAGGGTTGAAAGTCAGCCTGATCATAGCTATCTTCGCTTGAGTGCTGGAGAAGACCTTGGTATGCAGAATCTGAAAGTGGAAACGTGCGAGGCTCCCAAGGCTGTACCTTCTGTGGAGTGAAAAGGAGAGAAGGGAGAAGTTGCCGAAATCAAAAGCCTAGAATCAAGAACTCTACAATACCATCTCCTCCCTGTCCATGCCAATCTGCTGAAAGACCAGCAGATTCGATTTAGAAAGCTAGCTCTAAGTTTGCCAGGGTGCCAGAGCAAAGTCAAGTTTTAAGAGCAATGAACAGTGTGCGCTATTCACAACGTTTCCAGGATCACCAGTTCAGCTTTCCGTTGGTATCAAGACTACTGCCTTGCCATCTCCACTGACACGCCTTGCTTCTCACAGTCTCTATCTGAAAAGGCTTCCAAAGCAAACACTGTGCACTTGGGCCCAAACCAAGGACAGATCTGGTATGAAGTGTAAGACTGTGCTTGTAAGACCTTCATAAGACCATCCCTAAGGACGAGAGGAAATTCAATTCCCCTGGTAGTTTCAGAATTTAATCCTTAACAAAGTTAACTCCTTCTGCCAAAGAAGTATCCCATGATGTGTACAACTGCCTGAAACTATTTGCTTTCATGTAGGTGACTCAGTCCCACCCACTAAGAGTAACCTCAAACTCTGGGTCAATATGGTTTTAGAATTAAACTATGACATAAAGAAGAATAATCTACCCCGCTCTGAATCCTTTAGCCAGCCCCAGTCTCAGCAGACACACAAGCTGAACTCTCTTTTGAGCAGTGTGAAGCTCATGTAGCTTTCAGAAAAGTTACTTTCTGTAGCAGTAAAATTGTTTTAGAAAAGAACATGCAAGCTGAAGCCAGCTGACATTTTACAGCGTAACCTCACCTGTATTGCATCATCAAGCATTTCCAGGGAAGATTGGGTGTCTTCACAGCAAGACAGCACCACTCCGGTCCTACTGTGGACAGCGAGGGATTGCAAATCGTTGCAAGTCTCAGGGCTGTGCAAGCCAGTAGAAGGGTGCACATAGAGATCATTAAGGCAATTAAATCCAGTAACTGGAGATGCTGGCTGGGGCTGCCCGGCCCATCGGCCGTCTGCTTTGGTGGACGACCTAAAGCAAAGCAGTATTTGTAGCACAGTCAGTTGCGTATAACAAGAAACCCAAGTAAAAATGAGATCACTGTACAGTGAAAAATGTATGCTTTATCCCCTCTATACAATAAGATGAGATCATATTGCCCAATTAGTGCTTTAACTCATTAGCCCTTTCTCTCCTATCATCTCTTCAAAGAGCATCTCATGGCTTCTTGGGCAATCACTGTCCGTTTCACTCATCCTGCGCATGAAGAGAACGATTAAGCATCACGAGAGATTAAAACCTTGTGAAAAGAAGTGAGACAACAGAAAACCACACCAGCTACTAGAGACAAAACTGCTGTATCTGCAGCTACCTGGAGGTACGCCAACATTCTCCCCCGGTGTGACTACACTGTTTTGGCCTTTTTCTGGAGGTATGAATTACTAACAGTGTGACGCGTCAGTCCCTCTCCCTACTCAATAACTTGTGAAAACATCACACAACTTCAGCTCTGGTAGAGAGGCAGGGATCGCAAAAATATGAAACTCTCAAAATACAGTGAAAGCAGAGACAGACCTACAACTGCCCCAACTGAGGGAAAGGCAGAGAATTCAGCTTTTACCCACGCAAACAGAACACGTGTACCTCCGGACACAGAACAGACTGTTCTTTGTCCAGGCAACAGGTAAAAAGGTAAGGAGATACAGCAAGTGAATTGAAAAACAATCTCCGTAGCAATGAGTTCTGTCAAATTTATTAAGTAAGCCAGAGGAAAAATGCTTGGAAGAGGTATGAAGTACTACAGTTAACACAAAGCTCTCAACACGAGCCTGAGCTTAGTATGAAGCTAATTTTTAACAGGACTGTGACATGCTGCATTACTATTCTGCTGATTAGGCCCTATTTTAATCAATGTTTTGCTTCTGTTATGTAATAGACTTATATGAGCAAAATGACGGGCACCCAAGGATCTCTTCATTTAAGAGGAACTTCTTGACTCAGGATCTCTACAATTTAAAATGAAGAACGAATAAAGCCACCTTCTTCCGTGTCTGCTAGCAAGAACAGTACCTGCTTCCTCGCTTATGGGAAGTAGCTGCTGCCCAGGAATCCCAGCGGGCTCGTTCAAGATCTTCATATTTGGAGTGATGACTCAAGTACATCTCATCAGAAGTATCCTCCAGCTAGGAAGAGAAGTTTTGTCTGAATACTTAGAGCATGAAATCTCACCCGCATGCCAAGCCTACTGTTCTAGAAATCCAGGTAAGCAATAGCTAACCCATTCAAACTGCCTGGGAACCAGCACACGCACTTTGTATCGCTACCTCATTTTCATACTTTTCATTACGTACTGAATTGGGAACTTGTTCGTCAGCCTGAATTGTCAGGACAGATGCAGGCTGTTGTACGCACCATAGAAAGAGCTACCGGGGACATTACATCATGCACGATGAAAGGGTTTGTTCTGCCTGCAGCTACCAGCGGTGACCCACAGCTGACACGCCACCACAAGCCTCATCTCTGCTGGCCTTTCACTGGCTTCAGATGCAACTGCATTGGGCAGAACTGAACGACATTTCATACAGCGACTTTGCTTACTGGGCTGGCAGAATTTAATAACTGGTAAAGACTGACTCTAGAGCTACTCATGTGCCATTTGCACGTTCTCAGAATGGCTACAGGCATTTGAGACAAATCGACAAAACTTTTCTTACCTCAGAGTCCGCTTGATTGAAAGGCTCCAGTTCCTCGAGCTCTACTATCCTCCAGCTGCAAGGGGCAACACAAGCTAGAGATCACTTCAAAGAAAAACACGTTTGGTACTAACATTTAAATCCAGGCAATACTAATACCTCTTTTTTTTTTTAAATTCTTTCTTTTTTTATCCATTAGGAATAGTTTCCTTATGTCATTTCATTGAGAGGAACAGCTCTCATTCTGCCCAGCTAAAGCCATTTCCTCCTGTCACCCACAGGAGAGAGGATCAATAAAGCCTGGTCTGTAGATACCTCGGTACTACAATCTCTTTGTACTGAGGCTTCTCCACTCGAGGGGCAGCTGCCATTGACATTGGGATCACAATGTTATCGATGTCGTAGGAACATTCCACTTTTCTTCTTTTTGAGGACTGCTGAAACACAGAATGAAGAGAAAACCCCATGCAGAAAGTTAATGTTGGCACAAAAGCGTATTTGGGTATACCACAGAATGCAACTTCTCCGTAACAGCAAGCACAGTGGGCTCTTTCCACTGTCACTGGCGTTCAGTGATATTTTGGTCATGTCATACAACCTCTATAGTTTGGTTTATTCCTATATGAAGCAGGATAATACTTAACCTACCTCAGTGGGTGGGATTTCACTTATAACTCTATATATATAGGTCATCCGTGTCGCAAAAAAATTAACGGGCAAAGAAAAAGGCTATGATGATAACTCCAGAAGTAAAAACCTGTCATTTCAGTAGACTAAAGGAGCTGTACTTGTTTCGCCTTGCAAAATAAGGGCTGAAAAGGAAAAAGTAAAACAAGTAAACCCATGGAAGAACACCACCTTCCTGAGGCGGAGGATACCGCTGTTGAGACAACAAATGGCAGTATCACAGCATTTGGGCTGGAAGTCAGAGTATTTCCGAACCAAAGAGCGAGGCTCTGGAACAACGTCCTAGGAACAGTGGGATGAAGAGATCCCTAAGTAGTTTTGAGATGCATTTTGATCCGTTTATAAAGAGGGCCGTATACTGTGGTTCCCTGCAGAGCTGGAGATTAGACCTGCAATCCAGAATGGAAGTGTACCCCTTACTTATAAGCCAAGAAGTCTCCAAGATGCTACAGTTCTTTTGTTCCTTTCTCAAACAAACGTCCTTTTGTTTCTAGGTAGAGAGGCCAACCACAAATTGAAGTTCTTGGTGGCCACAAGGATAGCTATGGTTTATTACTGATGTAATATTTAAAAACCTTAATAGGCATAGGACTACTCAGAAGCATCCTTAAAAATCTGTTTAGGAAGTACAGACTGTACCTGGAAGAAGAGCTTACAAAAGAAGCAGCCAGCTCAGGGTTGGACTGTTAAATCTTCTGTGCATCAGAGAGGGAGAAGAGCACTTGCAAAGAAAGCACTAACAACACGGGAGCCAAAAAAACAGAAAATGAGTAGCTGATGCAAGTGAAATGGGTGTAACAGGGACTGCAGGTTCCATGGAGGAGCCCACTACCCCCTTCTACAAGAGTCCAGTGAAGATCCACAAGTACTGTGTCGGTCTCCATGAGACGGACCTGAAGCACAACACAGTTGGACCTAGAAAAAGCTACTTGAGAGCCTCAGCTCTGAGAAAGGTCTGTTTCTGTCAGTTAGACCTAACAATTACCTATAAACAAAGAGAGGAAGGGAATAGTGGTAAGGATAGGAAGTCTGAGCCCCCGTCCTTCAAGGTTTCCTTTGCTCAATGTACTTGGAGAACCAGGAGTTACTCAATGCCTTCCTAGAGAAGTGGTTGTTGCAGGATGTATTTTTTAATCCTTTCCTAGTTGTAGAAAAACAAGAAAATGTTAAAGATAATCTCTTGGCTGATGTTCCTGCTTCTTATAGGGAAGTCCATAGCAATTAAATCTCTACTATTAATTTGTAGCCAAATAAAACTGTAACATTGTGTGCATATAACTATTTGCTTGCAAAAAAAAAAAAAAGGAATCAGTAGAGTATGGTCAGTACCAAAGTTGAAACCAACCAATCTGGTTGGGGAAGCAGTGCAGCAGGCACCTAGCCAGCTGAGCACTGCCTGAGGAAGAGTGAAGAAGCACGTAGCTGTTGCTGTTTAACACCAACATCCAAACTGCATTTCCCAGCAGTCCATTAGCAGTAACAACCCATCCGAATTCCCAGCGAGTCTGCAGCCCCAAGGCAATACTCGGTAAGAGAGGTATCCCAGGCTACTCCCCCTTTTCAGATTCATTTGCCACAGCTTTTGTTTCAACTCACCGTTGCTGAGCTGCCAGTGAAAGGGATTGGGCTGGAAGAACGGGCTGGAGGAGTCTCTGGGTACAAGGACAGCGGGTGGTGCAGAGAACTGTATTCATGTGCCCAAGGACTGGAAACAGGAAAGCTGTGACTGGATGTTCCTTCAAGCTGCCTTCTCCCTTCAAACAATGAAACTGTTAATAAAACAGATCATGTGCCCAGGGAAGGAGTTGAGTCACCATCCCTGGAAGTATTTAAAAGACGAGTAGATGAGGCGCTGAGGGACATGGTTTAGTGGGCATGGTGGTGTTGGGCTGATGGTTGGACTCGATGATCTTAGAGGTCTTTTCCAACGTTAATGATTCTATGATTCTATAAAACGTGAACAGAAAAACCAAGGTGAAGTCAGGCTGACTCAGGACTGGTGGGTGATGTTGCTACCCTCGTAAGGTCACCAAACCCACCCTGGGGAACAGAGGGCAGAACAGACATCGGCATTAGAGAACAAATGTAAAACAGATGCCTCAAGTGCTCTGCAGCACTGAAGATGCTAGCCCAAAAACATTACTTTTGGTGGGCAATCCCAAAATAAAGTGGAAGGTGAAGTAGGTGTTACAGCCATCAAGAACTGCACTCCCCAGTCCAAAATACAGCCACTTAAAAAAGCTTCCTTCACTGTAGAACTGGTCAGGCTGGTCCTATTTCAAACAATCAGTCCGATGACAAACCACACCAATTTTAAGACAAATGTACTCTTCTCCCTGAAGTCCTATAGAACCTCAGCTTGATATGCTTTTTCTCCATCAGTTAACTTTTTATTCTTTCTCCCGTTTGTGACTGGCTTATTCCATGCTGAATACCACAAATGGAGAAATCTTCCAAACCTATTTGCCAAGTTACTCCACTATTCAAATCCTCCCTAAAGATCTAGCTCTGTGAGGCTCTTAGAGAGTTAAAAATATAGGAAAATCATCCTGCATTACTGCATCATCCATTAAAACACACTCTTCACAGTAGGTGTCTACGCACACACACACCCATACATGCTGCCCATAAATAATAATAGTTTTTGTGTAGTCTTGTGGCTAAATATTTGAAAAAAGGAAGGAGGTATAGAAAGGTAAATCAGTTAAAAGTCAAACAGCTGCTGACCAGCTGATAGAATCTACACTGGTGTGTTATTCAAGCATCCTCTGGTAGGTTCCTCACATTTATTGAACACTAACCACCTGCTTGTTCTACCATCAGTACATCCTGAGCTGATTATTGGAAGGATGATCTCTCTCCAGAACACTTCTCTTAGAAAACAAGATCCATCCCCATTCAAAGCTATGCAATCTCAGCCCAGACTCGTCAAACATCATTAAATCAAGTTGTAGCTCTGATAGTTAGGGCCAAAAACACACAACCTGAGGCTGCCGATGTACTTTCAGCATGGAAGCTGTTTTGGGCTTTTTTTGTTCACTTGTTTTTTGTTGGGTTTTTTTTTTTAAATACTATCTGGTTTGTTCATGATAGTTTGCTTCAGCAACCACAGAACATAAAGAATATTCCAGATGCAGCAACTGTGTCCTGTAAGAATGTCAAGGATACGGCCAGCTTGCAGTCTGCACATTATGCTACTTTCAAAAAATGATTTGGCATAAAACCACGCCTTTTAAAAGAAGGCCAAATGGAACACCAACTCTAGTTCATTTAAAAACCAGGATGTGTTTTAGCTGGGTTTCCCTCTTCCTGTCTTGAAACTGGTTTGAGTCTTCTGTCACTTACCTTAAACTGCTGTAGACCAAAAAAAAAAAAAAAAAAACCAACAATGACAGGCTGATGAAAAAAATTAGGCTTTCCAAAGCCGTAAGAGCAGCATGCAAATGGAACAGCAATTGCTATCACAGCAGAAAAACAACACTAGAATTTTGCCAGGCAAATACTGCTCTACTCCGATTTCAAATAAAGGTTCAGAAAAGCTTCTTTTTGGGTTGCTTGTTCCCTTGAAAGAAATACAGAGAATGGCAAGATTTATTGATTTATTTTTAATAACTTGGCTGAGGCAAGTATTTCTGTGTCCCTCCAAGGGGGTCAGAATTTCTGTGGTTTGCAAGATGTTGGACTCAGTCACTTAGACATTATTATAGAACAGAGTTCAGATTGTCTTCCACTGGAAGAAAGTGAGCTACCTTCTCCACTCTACCTTGACTGGTTGCCCTCAGGTACTGGTTAAAAGCCCACATTTAATTTTTTAACTTCATCTCAAACTCTATTTTGCTTAACTTACAGGAGGCAAGCAGGAGCGAAGAGTGTAGCTTTGGGAATGTGCTGTTAGTTGGATCTTGTTTCTTTCCAAAATGGGACATCTTTAGAGTCTTGAGTTCATGGCTCAGTAGTCTATGCAATCTGTCCTCTCTTAATAAGGTTTCAAAGTGCAAGTGGAGAGGGTTGCCTGAAAGTGGAAAAAACAAGTTATTTTGGTAAGCACAAGTTCTCCTCTTTTCACATACGCAGCACTGCATACACATCATTAGCAATCCACAGCTGTTAGTACTTCAGTAAAAGAATGAAGTGACACAGGTAACTAAAGCAAGCAAGGTTGATTGCAGGCTCTCTCACCCCATGCATGCTGTGACAGAGAGAACAGGATGAGAATGTCCCCAGAACAGCAGCCTCTGCCCTGGCCCTCTGCTAGATGCAATCTGACAGCCAGAACCTGATACCTTGCCATCGAGCTTCCTCACCCTAACGCTACGCTAACCTGAATCATATCCAGCTACATATTACTTGGCACTTGTTTGCATCATTATTTAGCGAGCAGAGGTGAGCTTATACTTTTTTTAAGTGATAAAAATATTTTGAGAGATGCTCTCATAGTGGCACAGTAGAAAGAGTCTTTTCCTCACTGTCCCTTAACCTACTCCATAACTACTTAGTGCACATTCTTGCTCTTCCATGGTTAAAGGCACTAGCAGTGCTGCAGCCACTATTGTCCTTCAGTTATTTAAACAGAAACTAAATGTTAAGGTTCTACCGAGCATAGTTCATAAAGTAACCACAGAGCACATCTAGAAGGCCACAGGTGTTTAAATAACGAGTGCTTAGACTCAAACAGTGATTTCACACTCAAAACTGGTGCTAGAGGTCTACCAAACAACTGCCACCCACCTTGTCAAAATCAGCATTAGATGTTCAGTCTTTCAAGTAGCCCCCAGGGCAGGGGTGTAACAGGAACTTACAACAGTTGTTCTGCAAGCCTCCAGAATTAGGATGTTCCTTGCAGAAGACACAGAGAGCTGATCCTAAAGAAGTGATCTAAGCTTACATTAAACTAGAGATGGGAACTGCCTCAGACGCAGGCCAAAGACACAACACGGTTTCCTAGGCTCAGAAATCTCCACAGACTGCACCCTTAGACTGAAGACGACGTGTCTGGTTACCATGCAGAACACCACTGGACATTTTTCGTTATCCTCTAGAAACATGCTTGCAACTCTGTTAGCATGTTTTTAACCTCCTTGGATGTAAGGAGGAAGAGCAAAGAGGGCAGTGGCGCAGTAAGGCATCCTCTTTCACTTTACAACATGCGATCTACTCACCATGAGATAAGGAGAGTATGGGGTGGAAGCCAGAGTCCAGGAGGGCTATGCGCTCTTCTAGGGACATGGTATCAGGATCTATTGTCTGGACAGAGGCTTTGCAGCTACACAGGATGCAAGAGTTGGGCCATTCACAGCTGCACTTGACGGTGAGAGGTTTCAGCAGCTAGCAGAAGAAAGGAGATCCAACATTTTAAAAGGGAAATGTGTTTCAGATTTAAGTAAAATGGAAGTTGAGATCCAGTATCTCCAGTCTGCTTTCTACAGGTACACTAGTTTCCATTCACCAAAAAGCAAAGCCAGGCAAGTTTTGAAAAACTGGGAGAAAAAACCTCAAAACCAAAACCATAACCAAGCAGCAGATTTGCAGGGCAAAAAAATAAAGTCAAGAGCCAGGATCAATGTTAAAAGAGTGTGCAAGAATACTACCACAGGCCATTTCTCCTTCTGACCATGGATGAACTACCTTATAAAATAATTCAGGGTATTAAGGGACACATTTTGTGTGATTCTTTACTACTATTTCCAAGCCAACAGAGCTGCTCCTTGGTGATTCCAGTGAAGCCATAATACTTAATCATTTTCTTTTTAAAACTTCAAACACCTCTGTGCCTTTTCTCATCCTGTTCTTCCTCATCTTCCTTAAAGGCTTTTTGTAGCCCTGATGCTTCCACAAAGCTTGATAAAAACTGTTAGGCGAGCAATCCACCACCAGCAGCATCCACCAATAAGACAATATTATGACCAATATTGTCTTATTTTCTACTTTTCCTCACGTGTCTGTCGGAAGTGTAAGCTGCAGCCACAACAGCCCTGATGTCTTTGTTCAACCACTTCCCCCCACGCTGTCACTACGACACACCCGATGCCCCTTCCCCATCAATATACCAGGTTCCATAGTATCAGTCAAACCAGAAGAGGGACCATTAATAATGCGTTTACCTATAGCCTAAGCGGACTGAATTAAATCATACTGGCTTTGCGTTCTGGCGAAACAAAGATCAGACAAGGAAAAGTAACACAACTTTTAATCTTTTTGTCTTAAATCTGCAGCTTGTTAAATACCTGTTACTTGTAAATCAATATTTGAGGAAAAGGCTACAAACAAGCAAATAAGATATGAGCGGTGTAACAAACTACAACTTGTCAACTGACAGATGTAACCACACATGTTCTTTGTGTGTCAGAATTAATATAGTAAACATCTTTTAATTGTCAGGTAACTCACAGCTAGGTGCCCAAGGAGTGCTTATTTCACCAGGCTTGGTAGCTCAGCCTTCAAATAACCACAACCCAGTTACAGTCCATCACACACCAGCTTGCTAAGTCTTAACTAAGGTTATGTATTCCTGGGGTTTTATTTTTGGGTGGGTGGTAGGTTTTGTGTTGTGGTTTGGGGTTGGGATTTTTCCCCTGGACAATTCCAAGGTCATCAACTCCAAAAGGTAAGTGGCAGAAGGTTGCTGCCCATGCTAAAGTCTGAGGTACACTCTGGTCATCGTTACTCGGAAAAAACGGCTCCCTGATTTTTAAGAACAGAAATTTAGAATCAGTTTCTAAACAACAGTTAAGCAGAGAACTCATGACTTTTTTTGACATATCTGGGAATTTCTTCTGAAATTCTACATGAAAAGTGCTCAGAAAACACTGTACTAAAACCAGAGTCCAACATTACAACAGTTTTTCCTAAAAATAAATTAAATAAAAACACAGCATAGTTTAGTAACCACATGTCAAAACTTTCACTTACCTTCCTGCTGAAGTGAGACACGGAGGTAGCTCGGACAAGCGTGCGCTTCTTGTATTTGCAAACTGGGCGGATTCTAGCCGCGATGCAGGTATCGTCCGGCATCGCAACAAGGTTGTTAAGTGGGTTTTGTTTGCCAAAGCTCTCTTCAACATTCACACCGATCAGAGAACTGCTGCTGGAAGAGCCAGTATGCAAACTGCAACCGAATGAAAAGCAACTCACTCAGAGCAAGAGCAGCAAGTTGTAGTTCTGTATTTATCATTGCGGCTGTGACACCCAAAGACTCTGTAGTATTTATGTCTGCAGCTAGTGCTCACCAGTTTTGTTCTCATCACATTTTTAGTCTTTGCTACATTCTCTCTCAAGGGGTATGTAGATTTCTGAATATTTCGTTCTCAGCACAGAAATGGACACTGAAGGGTCTTAACAGCTATATATTCATCAGTTAAGGACAGAAAGTCTTAAAGCCAATGCAGATGTGGCAGCCACTAATAACATGCGTTCTTTCTCCAACAAAGAACTTCAGTCAGCAGCTCAATTTATCATCTGATAATAACAAAGTCATTTACTTCCCATAAAAAAAGATAGCCGTTAAACCTAAAAACGTTGGCAAACATCCTTTCCATTTCTCTCTGTTCACCATGGAGTTATGGTTAAATCTAAGGTTGTATTTCAATAAGCAGATACAAGTTTATTGCCTTGCAGCGTATTCTTCTTCTGGAACCATCTGTAAAACAGTGCCTTCATAAAAGATCTTCTCTTTTTGTAATTGATCACACATTCGTATTATCATTTAAAAAAAAATTAATTTCTCTGTTACTTTTGCTGGTCCCAATCAAGCGTGATAATTTTTTTTCTTGGTTTGCATAACAAACGTTCTAGTAAAACTAGAAGTTTAAAATCTGTATTTTTGTCATGTGAACCAGAAAGGTTCTAGCTGGATATTCCAACTCCATGCTGAACTGTAGGACTGCCTGGCAGAAATCGGTGTCACCAGACGTTGAGCTGAGGTACTGGTTGGTGACAAGTCTTGAGAACAAGAAAAAACCCAAGCCTCCCTGCCCCTGCCATTCTTCATGAAATGAAGAGCTGCTGATTTACAGCCAAGTTACAGCATTCTGTACTGTTGTCCATTTGTTTTCAGTTTATAGTTATAAGCCAAATCCTGTTCAGCTATAAACACATGTACACGAGGAAACTTATCTGTAGGAAGAGATGTGCTTACAGAGACCCAGATTTCCCCAGTCACCTCTTCTTAACTGCACAGACCAGGAAGATAACAAAATTTTATGGACAACAGCGAGAAGCAAAATGCAAGTGAGAAAGTATTCCGCAAAAACATACACTACTGACATTCCATAAGCAAAACCAAACTAGTTCTATAAAACAGGGTACGATAAACCTCTGAAGTCTACAGCAGATCTGCACAAGACTATTCTTTCCCAATGGCCTCATGCCTCCTGTTGGCCTATACAGAAAACACAGGTTTGCAGCAAAATTGGTGTATGTATTTTGGACCTGAACAATTCCAAACCACACTAACTTCCGCATTAGCTAGCTCAGGTAGCAGGACGAGGGGGAAAGGGTTGCTGTAATGAGATGTTGCTGCCCAAACTGGAAAGAACTTACTGCCTGCGTGATGCAAACAGGCCATCCCACCTGAAAAGTGAGCATTTAAGAAGATGTTGTAGCCCAAAGTCATACTAACACAAGCAATGGTTTAGAAGTGTGTTAGTGGTGTGATGAGCAATAATATAATTTGCATTATAAATTAATACAAGTTAGCTGTTGTTTCTAGGATTTCATCGCGTAAGTATACATCATCTTGTACTTTGATGATGATACTCTACATCAGTTCTCTCCTCTGAGGCTCGGTTTTGCTGAGGTGGAACCCATCTCCCAAATACAACCCCATCTGGCTTACGGGCACAGTGTCATTCAGCCACACATGAGGATTTGTTTTCACCTCTGAAACCAGGCCACCACTCTCCAGCTCATTGCCTCTGTCACTCCAGGTAAGTGGAACAATGAAGGAAAGGAGAAGATTCATGGCCAGAACCACAGTTACTGGGTTCATCTCCATAAAAAACCCGTACTCACTCACGTGTTTGCATCTGCCCTATTGTTATTTGTCACACAAAGAAAATTAACTTCTAATGCTAAATTTTTGATTCTACACCTGAATACCACAGATTTCCACACCTGAATACCACGGAAAAAATTACAAGACATGGATAATTTTATCTGCAGTTTCTCTATACATCTACTTATTCTCACAAAATAGCCTTAGATTTCCCCTGTGAAGTTTTATACACCCAATGATCCTGTAAGAGCTAGGGATAACCAGACTAGGAAAATCTGAGATATATTTTCAGTTTAATCACAGACGACTCAGGGGTATAAGTGTCTCAGTGGCATTTAGAAAGCTTAACTCTAGAGAACACTTTTAAACTTGCATTCAAGGTGTACCAGAACTTGCACTCAAGTGCATTCTAATAAAGTCTCATCAAAAGCTTCCAAGGAGCTCTGTGAATAAGAAAGTTTGAGAAATTTCTATTACCTTGTGTGTTAAACAGGAGGTTCAACGTATCAAAGTTAAATACAGAGGAATTCTAGGGCTCTTACTACTCTCTTCTGATTGCTGAATAAAGCTCTGTATTAAGAAACTTTAAAAATATATGGCACAGCTTGTGAAAAATCCACGCTTTCAAATCTACAAGATACAGTTTTCTTTCCAAAAGAGGCAGAAGCCTCAAAAGCCATTACTAGACTAACAGAAACAAGTTACGTCAGGCAGCATTTCCAACACAAGCAGAGGATAGTTTAACTAAAAAAATCTGAAGACACACAATATTTAAATTTTGGGATCATGTTACATGTATCTACTCATTTAGGACTGATCAAAGACAGATCATACTACACGGCACAGGAACTATCCATAGGAAGTTATTTTTACGAGTTCCAAAATGGAAATCCTGATTCTCAGTATATGCTCAAAAACCTTTGGTCTCTTCCCTGACAAGGTCCAACGGAATTCCTAGTATCTGACACAATTCCAGTTTGGGTACTTAAGAGTTTCATGCTTATCACAGGATGTGAGCTGGATACAACCAGAGTTCTCAATGATGTTTCCACAGTCTGCCTATCAGGGAACTGCTTCCCAACACAAGCACCCAGCCAATTCTACAGAAGAGTAAACAGCACTGAAAAAAGTCTTAGAAGTATTTAGGCACCAGAAGAAAACAGAGCGTTTCGTTAATACCTTAAGCACAGTCTCTTCAAGTTAACTTGAAGAGTTACAAGTTCTGTAACTTGAAGAGACTGAGCTTAAGATATTAATGAGAACACCGTGTAATGCTATATTTGCAAAAACAGGCTACAGCAACGCATAGTAACAAGTTTGAATTAACACCACCAAGCCTGAACGAAAGAGCAAGGCTCACACGTTACGTAGCAGAGATGACAGGTCCAAGTACTGCAGTAAAACAGAAGGGACACACATACGCTGTTCAGGGCCTCTTCTTCCCCTCCCCGACAGCCTAAGCTAGGGTCAAAAAGTGATCACTGCAACTCAGTGGTGCATTTGCAACGTTAACATTTGCCGCTGATCCTACTGCTGGTCCTGGCAATTATCCTACGGGTCTCTGGCTCCTGCTTTCACACCGCGGTGGCGATTGTTTCAAACAGAGCAAGCAAAGCAGTGGTTGTTCAACCTGTTTGCAGCACAGCAATCAACCTTCACTCTCGGAAGTCAGAACTTCACCAGCTCCAGCAGGTCGATTTAGAAATTCACGTTCTTTCTAATAAAACTATTAACAACAGCCTGCCCTACGAGCAGATGTGCGTTCCTGATGAGGGAAGATGGAGGTGCTCCTCCCCGGGGGCAAGGTCAAGCTTCCTCTACTTTTTCCTCTTCATGGAATTCTCATGGAATTAGCTGTTAATCAGAGCCAGGCACTGGAGGCCTGGCCAGAGCTCGCGTTATATGAAGAATAGCGACTACCTGGTATCCCTGGCAACCCAACTCTTCAGCCTTTTGGTTTTTCACATCAGAAACATGCACTACCAATTCAGTTTATCAAAATTGGTAACTTACGTATAATAAAATATATATATTTTATATATAATTATATATATAATATATAATATAATAAAATATACAGTGCCATACTTGCAATTAAGAAGATTAATTGCAAGGGGAGCAAGCATAAAGTTTCATGGAATAGAGAAGCAGAAAGTAGCATTTCAGCTGGGTTTAAGATCACTATATACCTCTTAGCTCTTCAAGTATGAAATAGAGACCCAATGCACCACGCTGCAAGTAACTGTGGATTAAAACATCCATTTAAACAGCTTTAGACTTTTATAATTTGGTCTAATACTTTCAGAATCCTCTGGATTTCTACAATATAAGTAAAGAGAAAATGAGGTTTATTATCTGCAGAATTAGCCCAGAATAAAAGCGCAACTACTAAAGTACCTACCTTCAGAAGATTAGCAATGTTACTGCTTGAAGCTCAGGACTAATCTGCTAAGAATTTGTTAACCTATCAATCACTGATTAGTGTCTGCTTTGAATAATCCATACTTTCTGTTCCCTCATTCTACTGCAGTCCAATCAATCCTAGGCTGAAACTACCACTCTTAAAACGCAAGCTGGTTTTACTGAATGAATACAGCAAGAACAACCTTTACTGAAACCATCTATGAAAGAAAACAAACTCTTCCCCAATAAAAACACAGGATGTTTTATTTCATTAGGCAACACATCAGCCTGAAGCCTCTGCATGTCGTGATTAGTCCCATTTCAACTCCAAGACTAAAGCTCAACCCATTGATTATAAGAGCATCAGGTACCTCAGAAGAAGGTGCTGATGATTTGCAAGAATGATCACGCTGGATCAGACCAAAGGTCCATCTTGCTCAGTATCCTGTGGAGCAGCTGGGCTAAAAACAGGCAAGGAGAAAGGGGTGCAGAGAAGGCCTGGTGGTCATCGGGAGTTCTTGGAAGTGGTTCCACCCAGCATCAGCAGCCTGCCACTGAGATGGTGCTGAGGAAGAAGGGCACAACAACCGGGGCACAGATGCTTCACATTGCCAGACACATCCCGTCACAAGCAGGTAAGTCCAGGCCATCAAGTGCCAAGGTGCCTCTGAACGCCGGGAGGGTGAAAGCAGCTCCCCGCTGTGCTAGTACGACATAGGCAAACCGAGGCTTTGCTTTGCACAGGACTCCGTCTGTGCTTGAACTGTTTGTTCTTCACCCACCACGATGACAATGGCAAGATGTGGCCCAGGAGGATCTGCCTACATTAACAGAAGAACAGCAGGTAGGTGGCTCTGCGTGAAACAAAATGCAGTGGTCCTGACTGGGATGTCTAGGAAAGGAGTGTAAGAATCGGGCAAGTATGCACGACACGTACCCTAGTGCTCTAAAGTCTCTCCCAGCACCTTCAGTTCAAACCACACTTAGCTTAGGTAGTCCCAGCGTATTTACCAGCCTTCAGTGAATCTTTCTGTCAAGCAGCAAAATGCAGACTGTATCCTGCTTTTTCAGTAGCTTACAGACCTTACAGAAAACATAAGGAAAACCCCACAAGAAATAAAAGTGGCAAGTGCACCAAATTTTACTCAATTAACTAGCAACTTGCCATAAACTTGGTGGCATATTTGTTTGAAATGATGCCAACTGCAACCCAATTGGTACTACTCCTAGGTTTAGGCAGCTTGACTGAAAACGGAAACACAGCGTATCAAGGAGTACTCAACAGTATGTGTCTTCTGAATCAGTGGGTTTCAACTTTTTCTCACTTGCAAATTTTTTCTCTTGAAGTGCCAACCTGTCTTCTTGGGCATTTATGCCTCCTTACAACAAACTTGCTCATATGCCTTTTGCAGATCCCCAAGTCTACAGGCATCCAGGACCAAAGACTGAAAGTCTTTCCTCTAGATGTAAACAAAGTTGGCAGGGGAAGGGGAAAATTCATTCGAGCCCCTTTTTTGTAAGGGATGAAGGCCTGAAAGGCAACTGAGCTGCAACTGCCTGCTTATGAGAAAGAATGGAGAAAGCAGCATGCATCTGGCAAGGGAAAGGAACATTTTCTCCTCAAGACTTTAGTGCAAGTTTCACAGTCTTGTTGTCTGTATCAGGTTAACATCCCTCCTTTGCTATCACTGCTTTATCCGATTCCTACAGGATCAGACACAGGGAAGAAGTGAGGTTTTTGGCTTTTTTTCAAGCAGCACTAATTCTTCCCCCTCCCCCCTCCCAAGAATAAGGTGGCGATAGATGGAGAAATCTTTAGAGAAGTGAAATAGAAGGGAAGGAAATAAGATGAAAAACTTCTCAAAGAGAACAGCCTAAAACCCAAGGAGATACCACAAAGCTACACATGAAAATGGATCAGTTGGAAGAACAGCACGGTAAATCATTGGGACAATCAGTGCATTCCACGGGTGTATTTTCTAGGGAGCTTCTCCCGATATATCCAGTACTCCATGGGATGAAAAGGTTATTCAGCAATTCTACAGACTAAAGTTTGCCTCTTGCTACTGAGCTTCTTGAAGCCCACTGGCTGCTTCCACAGGACACATGCCCCCAAATATTAAACCAAACTAGTTAAACACTGAACAACAGAAGGAAAGTTCCCTATTTACTTAACAATTACTGCCCCCCAACCCCACCAGCATTTAACACACAGTTGATCAGCAATATCTTTTTTCTTACAGATTCAAGGCTCCATAAAAATATGAATAGTTAAAAGGCTAAACTCTAGGTATCTCTTCATCACCAACACTGAACAAGAAGGAAAGTTCCCTATTTACTTAACAATTACTGCCCCCCAACCCCACCAGCATTTAACACACAGTTGATCAGCAATCTTTTTTCTTACAGATTCAAGGCTCCATAAAAATATGAATAGTTAAAAGGCTAAACTCTAGGTATCTCTTCATCACCAACAAGACAGGTAAGATTTACTTCTCCATATATTGAAAATTAATAAGCAGAGAAATATGTTCTACATTCTGTGCAAAGGAAGAGACTCAAAAAGCTCAGAAATCCACTCGTTAAAAAAATAAAAATCAGGTCACCAGGATGCTGTACAGCATCCAACCTTAACCTAGACAGGCAAGGTACTTTGGTCATGCATTTGTAAAAAGGAGGTAACATCTTCCAACAGGCTGGCTACAAGACAGGCAACATCATCTATATTTGGCAGTTTTGGTTGTTGTTCTTTTACACAATAGATCACAGCTGGTAATTTCATATTACTTCTTACAAGAAATTCCCCTCTAGAATCCTCCCAACAGACATGCATACCTATTTTGAATTTTTACAACTGAACTGTACATACAGAAGTCTTTTAGCTAAAGATCCCTTTCTTAGCCACTATCACCAATGCCTTAAATATGAAATTACTTTGATCAACCTATAACAGAAGGAGAACTAACCAGTTAAACACTCTGTTGACTTGGCGGGGTGATGTGGCGCAGGCTCTGAGGGGTGCTGGAGACCCACTGATGGGGGTGCAGGAAGGACTTTGACACATACGGTTTCCCAAAGACTGTGCAAGATAAGAGCTCTGCAAGAGAAAAAAACCTCAGTAAAGCTTAATGTGATAATGAATCTGAAGAAGGATGAGGGCAGAGGCGCGAAAAGCCCAGAAAACCAAAAAAGCAGAGTAATGTAAAGAGCATTCTGCAATTGTAAATAACATTGAACTTAAATAGGCCCAATGTAAACAATCACATGCAATTTAATCAACTGCATTTCAAGCAGCAATCTCAGGTCATATTTTAAATATGAATTCTTAAGCTTCACAAAATAAGTATCACAGTAGAGCTTTTCGTTCTCTGTTTTATAAGCTGGAGACCATTTTCAGGGCAAGACGGCCTCATTTTTGAGCTATTCTGCCTTTTCCACTAGACAAAAAGCTTATACTGTACTAAAATCTGTACTAAATGCTGTACTAATTTCATAGAAACTTTCAGAAGTTTTAATGAAATATAGTATTAAAGAGTATTTGGTGGTTCACACACTCATTGGATACGATTCTGAAGTGTCAAAACAAAAACACTTTTGATTTCCACACCATTAAACCCCAACACCTGCAGTTCACTGCATGCGTATATCTACACTAACATAAGTTAAACAACAAACCCCCACAAAGATGAAAGAGCAACAGAAGTACAGTTTTCCTCATGCTGCACTATCAATGTCACAGCTTCGTCCCCTGAAGGAAGCATCTTCTTGTCAAATAATTAATACAGAGATTTATGGAGTCACAGACTGTATTTGGACCACAGCGTTCAATTGGTAGAGCTTCCATTAACTTGTTTATTCCCTTTTTGAACAATTTAATTTTGCCATAGAGTGTTTCAAATCTGAATGTAATTATTGACTATACTGCCTTTTAGTAGGCATTTCTATTGTACAATGAAAAAACCCAATGAATCATCCCATATTCATCTTGAATCTATCTAGCACAGTCTCTCTCCGCTGTTCCCACAGCAGTTCAGTTACTCATTCTCAATGTTTAGATTCTGCAGCTTGCCCTTACACATATCAGAGTATCTACTGAGGTACTTAATGCCTTCTTTGCCTCAGCCTTTAACAGTCAGACCAGTTATCCTCAGGGTACCCAGCCCCCTGAGCTGGAAGACAGGGACGGCGAGCAGGATGAACATCCCGTAATCCAAGAGGAAGCAGTCAATGACCTGCTACGCCACCTGGATGCTCACAAGCCTATGGGGCCGGAGGGGATCCACCCGAGGGTGCTGAGGGAGCTGGCGGAGGAGCTTG